GAGTGCCAGAGAGTGTCTAGTGTGCTGCCCTTCACGTAGGAAGAAGGGATGTGGGGAAATACGTGCGTGTCTGCACATTCGTGCAGAAGGGGTACAGGAGGGTAAGCCAGAATCAGGGAGATTGGGTTATGGGTGGGTGGGGTGGGAAGGAAGAGGGAGCAGACGCGGCTGCAGGGATGGGCGTGGGGCTTCTGAATAGACCTCTCCGTACAGCCCCCCTCTGGGAACCACAGCAATATTTCACAGACCCCAAAATGAAATGAGTGCATATCAGCCAGGATGTGGGATGGAACACAAACAAACCTCAGTGTAGGACAAAACAGTAACAGAGCCACAGCAAAGCGGAGAGCGGGGGAGTCTTAGCCTGAGTTTGGGAAACAGTATTTGGACTAGTTCCGTAAGACGAAAGACAAGAAAGACCGTGCACCCTCCTGTACTCTAGTGGTACGTTTGTTTCTCACAGGGTAAGTTAGTGGTGTGAATCTACCTACTCTGTGTGTACACGAGGATTGAACAAATAGTAAGTGTGTAGTGGGCACTGAGAGCCAGGAAGAAGATACAGGTGAGGAGCGGAGGAGGGCTAAAGGCCCCTGTGGGTTGGGTTGACCCAGGCATCCGTGTGAGTCCATACAGAGAGATAGGTACGGAGGTGAATAGAGATGTATACAGAGCACGGGTTGTGTGCTGAAATACAGATCTCCTCGCTCTGTCCCCTGGGAAGGCCCAGCAACAGTGAGCACACCAAAGAGCATTCTCCTGGGACACCTGGTGGTGCAGAGAGTAAGGAAGTGCTCAGAAAGGATGGGGCCTGTTGAAAGGACATGGAGGCCAAGCTGAAGGAGGAAAGACGGCCAGAGCTGGATAGATCTGAGCAAGGAAATAAATAGTGATAGTGTTGCTTTATAATCCGTGGAATAAAATAAATATCCATCACTCCATCCTGATATAAACAAATAGTTGAGCAAATAGGTAGATAAGGGGGGGAAGGGACAGCTCTTCCTGACAGAATTCCAGGTGATCAGTGTAGAAGGAATGAAGACATAGAAGGTCACCGTGAGGCAGACACCACGGTAGTAATTACTGTAGGCGAGACCCAGGGACTGGTGCTAGCATTAGTGGGCAGAAGTTTGAGGAGAAACAGGATATTTGCCTAGTCTCAAAGTATCTCTTCCCCAAGTTATTTATTTATTAGAAAGGGAAAATAGTAACTTTAGAGTGGAGCAGGCCAGCAGACACCACCTTGCCCAAGTGACGCGTGGTGAGACGGTCACCGTCACACACTCCTGATTCCACACGGCATGTCACCTCTCAGGGTCTCTTGCCACAGCGCACAGTCGGAGCGTCATGACAAGGAGAGAGCAGACAAACACGGCTGACTAGTGCTCTCCAGGCGTCCAGGTCCTGCAAGACAAGGACGGACTGAGGGATGGTCTTGGCCTGGGGGATACACAGCCTAAGGATACAGGAGAGTGAAATGCAGCATGAGTTCTGGATGGGGTCCTGGAACAGAGGGATATTAATGGGAAAACTGGCGAAATCAAATACAGTCTGTAGTTGAGCCAATAGAATTGTGCCTGTGTTAATTTCCTGATGTTGCTCATTGTTCAGTGGTTCTGTGAGACGTGGACATTAGGAGAGGCTGGATGAAGGATATATGGGAACTCTCTGTACTGTTTTTCAACTTCCCTGTAAGTCTAAAATTTCAGAATAGAAAGTTGAAAAAGAAGGTACATGATGAGATAGCTGTGGAGCTGAGGGTGAGGATGGGGGAGCCCCCAGCCTCGGTCTCCCCGTGTGTCCAAGCTTCTGTCATCTCTGCCTCTGACAGAGGAGTGAGTTGTCTCAATGAGAAATCCTTTCGTGTGTTCTTACTGGACGTTCTGGCTGCCTGGAGCCCCGCTGTGGAGCGTCCGGGAGATGTGCTTCCCACGCCTGTGGTGCGGAGGGCACAGTTCCTTAAAGGGGGGGCCTGTGCCCATGGGAAGGGGCGCTGTGACCAGGAGGCAGCTAGAGGCCCTGCTGACGGGAATTCCAGAGGCGCCACATCAGGGACCACTCATAGTGGTGACGGGTGCTCTCCTAGGGTGTCCTTGGGTTTTTCTTGTTTTTTCTTTTGTGAGGAAGACCGGCCCTGAGCTAACATCTGCCAATCCTCCTCTTTTTGCTGAGGAAGACTGGCCCTGGGCTAACGTCCATGCCCATCTTCCTCCACTTTATATGGGACCCCGCCACAGCATGGCTTGACAAGGGGTGCATCGGTGCGTGCCCGGGATCCGAACTGGCGAACCCCGGGCCACTGCAGTGGAGCGCACGCACTTAACCGCTTGTGCCACCGGGCCAGCCCCGTCCTTGGTTCTTTTGATTTCTTTAATTTATTTTTTCCAAAGAGAAATTTTAAATTTTTATGTATGCAGATTTGTCAGTCTTTCGCCATGTGACTTTCAGGTTTTGAGTCCTGTCTAAGAACATTTTTTCCCACCTCCAGAATCACTCCTCTTTAACTTCTAGCAGTTTTATGTACTGTTTCCACATTTAGCTTATTAATCTACATGAAATCTGTTTTATGCACTTGAGGCCAGCATCTCATATTTACTCCAGTTGGGTAACCAGTTGCCTCCATCGCTGAGTCGTCTGCCCTTTGTGCAGTGATCAGAAATGCCACTTTTATCATCTAACAAGTGCTTTCTTCAGTTACGTTTCTAATTGCCTGTCCTTGCTGTGTGGGAAAGCTGTTGATTTCTGCGTGTTGATTGTGTGCACAGCAGTCATTAGTGTCTCATGTTTTCTAGGTGGAGGATCGATTTGTGCAAACAGTGCCTCTTCCTGTCTGATCTCCGTGCTTCCCCGTGTTCTCCAGCTGGGACTTCTGGAGCAGGCGGAGGCCGTGTTCCAGCAGCGGCGGTAGCCAGCGGGCGCGCCTCGTGTTCTGACTTCAGCCCCAGCGCCTCTCGTGTTTCCTCTCAGGTGTGATGTTCACTGTTGTTGTGTGGTGTGCACCCTTTATCTATTTAAGCGAGTTGTCTTCCTACTTTGCTGAGTGTTTTTGGTTAGTAAACTTTATCATATGTAGCAGTAGAACTTGGCTGTATGATTGTCCTGCATCCCAGCAGATGATCACGTGGTTTTTTTTTGGGGGGGTGGGCAAGATCAGCCCTGAGCTAACATCTGCCAATCCTTCTCTTTTTGCTGAGGAAGATTGGCCCTGGGCTAACATCCATGCCCATCTTCCTCCACTTTATACGGGACGCCTGCTACAGCATGGCCTGACAAGCTGTGCGTTGGTGCGCGCCCGGGATCCGAACCGGCGAACCTCAGGCCGCTGCAGCAGAGAGCGCAGACTTAATCGCGTGCGCCACTGGGCCGGCCCCGATCACGTGGTTTTGATCGCATGGTATTCCCCCTCCGATCTATTAATGTAGTAAATAGCATTCATAGATTTCCTGAGGTTGAACATCTTTCAGTCTCAGGAAGAACCTTACTTTTCTCTTAACACACTGAAAATTAAATTTGCTATTTATTTTAATACTTTCTCTTTCTTCAAAACGAGTCCTTCCTCTCCCTCCTCAGACCCCAGCTTTTTTCTTTTTGTGAGATGTAGTTTACATACTGTAAGGTGTACTCGGTGGTGTGCTGATACATGTTTAACAACTGGCTTTCTTAGCGAGGGTGTTGTAAAAAGCCCTGATTTGTAGCATTTGCCAATTTCTGTGGCATAAATATTCTCACCATTGCCTATTTCAAGCCACCAATGAGCTGTCAGCTGGTTCACAAAATTCCTGAAAATGTCTCAGTCCTCTCTCGTGAGCTGGTACGAGCTGGCACCAGTTGCCACTGGAACCCGGTGTGCAGCCTGGTGACCTGTGTGCACTCACGTGGCCGTCTCCGACGTCTGTCCCCAGGCTTCCTCGTGCCCATCCAAGTCAGCACTCCCACTTCCCCAGGGCAATACTAGTCTGACCTTGGTCACCATTGTGTCCTCACTCCTGGCTTGAAGACTTATTTTATTTATTTTTCAAGTCATCCTTATTTTCTTTTCTGTGCATTTACAGTTCTACGTTTCCCCCCTAAGAACTGCCTCAGCCACCTCATTTATAGAGAGTAAGATATGGGGCTTGTAGTGATTTTTATTGACAAATCAAGCATCTGACCCATGATGACCAGTGTGGCACTAACTTTATTAGAAAAACAGTGTAGGGGGGCCAGCCCGGTGGTGCAAGCGGTTAAGTGCGCGCGCTCCGCTGCGGCGGCCCGGGGTTTGCTGGTTCAGATCCCGGGTGCGCACCAACGCACCGCTTGGCAAACCACGCTGTGGCAGCATCCCATATAAAGTAGAGGAAATGGGCACGGATGTTAGCCCAGAGCCAGTCTTCCTCAGCAAAAAAAGAGGAGGATTGGCAAATGTTAGCATAGGGCTGATCTTCCTCACCAAAAAAAAAAAAAAACAAAACCCAGCGTAGGTTCTGTGATACAACTTTTTTTAAATCTGAGAGGTTGTTAGCATCTTATATTCATGTAGCTCTTCATCTTCCTTAGTATAAATTAAACCTTTTTTCATTCATTTATTTATGCAATCGTTTGACATGTATGTTTTTTAGCACCTATGGTGTCTCGGGCACTGTGGATGCCAAAGGTGTGGCAGTGGCTGGAACGACTCAGCCTCGTTCTTCACAGAGCACAGGTTCTGCTCTCTCGTGCAGTTGTGTGTTTTTTCAGTTTGAGTGTCCTTGCCGATTTTCTTCTTACTCAGACATCCACTTGTCTTTGCCCCTGGTATTATCTTAAATCAACCCTAAATCAATCCAGTTTCTTCCACTCCTTCAGTTTTGAAGTTCCCTGCTTCGATACTAGTTGACGTTTAGCTTAACTCCTTATATAATTATTTCTGCTTTTACTAAATTCTCGCCAAGAAAAGGCAAAGGAGTTGAATCTGATGATTTTTACATTAGAAAAGGTTAATGTTTTAAAAGGGTTGTGACAGTAGAGCAACTGGAAACGTTGAGTGAAGCAACACTGCTTGTGGTGCGTGGACTGTCACCTAAGGAGGAGCCGTGGACAGGCTTGTGGTCTTCTGCTGCAGTTCTGGGTGTCAGCAGGCTTTCCCCCCCAGCAAGGTCTCTGTCCAGCTCCCGAGGGCATTAGGGTCTGTGGGGCTGTGCCTTTTGGCAGCTTGGTGCCTCCGAGGGGTGGTGGGAGCCTGGTCCCCAGGCACCCATAGCATTGTTACACATTTGCTGCATGCTTTGGGGTCAGGTGGAGTGGAGGAGACAGGCACTCAGGTCCCTGTTCCCCTGCGGCCACAGTCCGGGGGAGTGGCAGGTTTCCCTGGGGGAGGAGGAACTGGAGGAGCACAGTCCGGTTTCGCCGTTGTGGTGGTTGGGCTGGGAAACGTGCATGCAGGCTGGTGGGCCTCAGAAGGCCATCTGCTCTTCTTCCTGCTGAACTGACTTGGATTTCTGCTTTTTTAATCCTTTGCAAAATTAATGTTTTTACTTTAAAAGTCAGTATTTTATTTTAATAGGAGAAAATAGTTCTATTTTATTTATTCAGACAACTTAAAGACGTCAGAGGTCAGCTTTCTCCATCCCTCGGGGAGGGTGCTGAGGAACAGAGGTGTGAAAAGCACGCTCTGGGTGGGTCTTGGCTCCTGTCCTTGAGCATCCTGTCTGCAGAGAAGAATCTTCTGAGGAAGGACGGATTACTCTGCTGCCCGGCCGTTGGTCCAGAAGGTGTGGCCTGGCTCTCAGCCAAGACCCAAAGCCAGCCACACATTCCCTTTCCTCCCCCTGATCCTGCACAACACCCCTCTCCACCAGCTGGCATCTCTGTCAAGGGCGGAGAGAAGCCTCAGGCCCTTTTTTTATCAGGTGACTTTCTGACCTCTCATGAATGAATGACTGAGCTGGCCCTCCTGTGACCGTATTGCAACTGGTCGATGAGAGGGGTTCCAAAAACGGACATCAAAGAAAACAGTTTTATGGGAATACGTATTATCTTTTTTTTTTTTGTATAGTTACATCTTGGAAGTTAATCTTTGAAAGTAATAGTTATGAGGATCAAGTCTTCATCTGAGGGTTGAATCCTTATAGATTACCTTTAAATCTTAGGATCAGAATTCAGGAGCCCTTGTTAAAAGTAATTTTTCCATTGTTGTGCTCCTATTGAATTTAGAAAAAGTGGATACATCTTTATCTGTACTTAAATGTATAAGTCAGACTGATACTAGTAGTATCACAAAATAGGAAAAAGAAAACATCTTCCTATGAACATTAAAGTAATGAAGAAATTAGGGATTGTCCCAAAACACAGAGCAGATGAGGTAGAGGAAGTCAGTGAAGCTCTTAGTAGCTTAAATCTAACTCCTGACCTGAATAATTATTTTAAAAAGTGTTCTAATAAGTAAAGCTTCCCAATCCTATAAAATAGGAATAATTCGCTATCACACATTTTTGTATTTTTTACTTTTTTCTCTTGAGGATAGATCCTGGGTCCTAAAGATGTCAGAACTAGTATCGCATCTCAATTTCTCAAGCCGAGGAAACCTTCATCCTGTTTTCTAGAGCCGACGAGGTGCTCTGTTAGTAGGCTGTTGAAACCCTCTTGATGAGTCTCAGTTCTCCCCCCAGTATTTACACAGTAGGCACAATGAAGACCAAGAAATCAAGGCTCTGAGATGGGCCAGGTCTCAGGAAGAAGGAAGCAGCACGGCCCCTGCCACACTGCGGAGGCCACACACTCGCCTTCACAGGACTCGGGCCACAGAGGAACCTGGCGTGAGCCACGGCTGGCAGGGCACTGAGGTGCTGATCAACTGGCTGTGCTCGTTCTGGCTCTCCCCGGCGTTTCCAGGACGGCTCAGAGTCTGTGGTAGGAGGATGTTGCTGGAGCTGGGCTGCAGGGATCCCTGTGGGAGCTCCAGGCCTGGTGCACCGGCTGTGGCTCTTCCAGGTCTGCTTACCACTCCCACTCGCAGGTTTCCAGAAGCCCCCCTGACATCCCTGACAACTGGAAGAGAGCAGCGGGCATCTTGTGGGTGCTGAGCCCTCAGAGCCACACTGCTGCTGTTCTCTGCTGTGGTGGTGTTTTCCTGCTACCTCTTGCATTTTATTCTGCGGTTCTGGAACTGGGTCTTGTCCTGTGTGGCGAAGGTTCAGGGTGTTCTTGATCTTCGGCTGAAATCTGTCATTACGTGTGCACAGTGGTGTCTGGGAAGACCTGCCTGTCTCTTGACCTTCACTCGCGTCCTTCACCCTGCCCTTCTTTTGTGAGGAGGCCCTTGTATGCGGGGCCTGGACGAGGCATAGGCTGGGTCTGGACGGTGTGGTGGGACGGGTCTCCCGCAGCCCCAGGGAGTCTCAGGCAGGGGGCGGGGCCCTGGTGGCGGGTGCTGCTGGACGAGGCCTCCTGGATTCTTAAATTACAGTTCAGAACTTAATTACCCTGTGTCCTCCTGGCTGTAACTGTGGGCACATGTCTCGTATCTGCCCTGAAAGCACCTTAGGATCGGGCTTCCTGCCCCTGCACAGCCACACTTCATTTTTACTGGTGATTTGTCAGTCATCTTCTCAACTTGTGACTCATCTGGTTATTTGTGTGGCTCTTGGTGATTGTAACCTGTTTATTCCTAGGATTTCAAGAGGTGGTTTCTTGATTTTAATGTAATGTATGATGTTCTCTTTCGTAAGATGGGTTTCTGGTGATTTTGTGTTTAAAAAGTGAGGGTCTTTTGAGAAATAAAATACACCAAATGACTTGTTCAGAAACATCCACAGGTGTTTTTTACAGCTCCGTGAGTAGCTGGGTTTTCAGCACAGAGTTTACCATGTGTTTTGAGCTTCATTAAAGACCCAGAATCCGAGCTTCTGTGGGCGGCTCATGGTGTCCTTTGTCGAGGGCAGAGCTTCCTCAGTGCTGTGAGCCCATTTTGGACCCAATGCCAGTTTGTTGTCTGAAGCTACCTTTACGTTGGGAAATCTTTAAGTAAAAGTTCGGAAAGTTTTTGATTAATTCCCCAGGATGCTTTTGAATTAGGGATTTGGTAGAAAATGTATTTTTGATGTTTTGGCCCCACCACCATCCAGACCACTCATTGCTGCCTGGGCGCTGGTGTGGCCACCTGTCAGGACACACCCTCTGTGCACAGAGAAGCAGCACCTGAGCGCTCACGTCTGTTGCTGTCTCGGCTCCCCACCGGTGGGCCCTGTCCAAGCCCTGTGCCCATGGGCGTGGGAACTCACAGGACCCTCGGGACGCCTCCTGGTGGGCTGCCGTCCTGGTGGGCCACCTGTCCACACGGCTCTGCTTGCCTCCCTCACTCTCTCCCTCCCAGCCGGTCTCCCGAGTGCCCCGTGCATGTGGGGCTCTGGCACAGGCACTGGGCAGAGAGAGGGTGCGAGCAGATGAGAATGGACCTTGCTCACACGGGGATGCCTGGGATATAGACATATATGTATGAGTGATCACATACACACATGTAAAGTGAGAACGCCCAGAGCAGAACCCGGACCTTGACTTGGGGGGCGGCGGGACGGTCCATGAGAAGGTGTTTGTGCTGCGGTCTCCCCGCTTGGACTCCTGTCCCCACGGTCACAACCTCCTCGGCTGATCTAGTCAAGTTTCGGCCCCACCGTCCCTCTGAAATGGCTCTTCCAAGTCACTAGTCACCTGTCTTTGTCAAGGACAGTGGCCACTGTCCTGTCCCTGTCTCACGCAGCCCTCAGCAGAGTCTGACAGGACCGCCCATGCCAGCCTGATTTCCATGCTCCTCTCCGCCCTGCCTGCCCTTAGCCCAGGGCCACGCTCCTGGCCAGCTCTGGGTGGCGATGCCTCTCAGCCCGCTTGTCCACCAGCCCTAGCCCCTGCCCTAGCTCTGGTCGTGGTGCAGTACGTGCCTGCACGGTGCCCAGCCCGGCCCCCACGGCGGCCTGCAGCCGTTCTCCTTCCTCTCTCTCACGCTCACTGCAGCATCTCCCCGAGGCCGCCAGCTCCTCCTCCGCATCTCTCTCTGTCTTTTCCCTCTAGAACCCCGCTCTAAGCAGCAGGAGCTCCTCATCGGCTTTCCTCGGTCCAGACTTGCTCCCGTGCAGTCCCCCCTTCATATAGTCACTGCAGTCATCTTTCTAGGGGCACATCCCACCAGGTCGCGCCTGCTCGACCCCTTCCAGTGACTTCCCATCACAATGGGGGAAGTGAGTTCCCTTAGGAGAAAGCTGTTTCCCTCCCTTTTCCCTGTTCACTGCTCTGTACTGACGCAGCCCCCACCTCAGGGCCTGGGCCTCTGCTGTTCCTGCGGTGGGGACAGTTGTTCTCCGGGTGTTCATAAGGCTGCCGCCTGCTCATTGTTCAGCCATCAGCTCAAATGCTGTCTCCTTGGGGGGGCCGTCTCTCCCTGGCCTCCCCCCCGTGTCATTCTTGTCCATGTCCCCTGTTTTATGGGCACTTGAGATGGCCCTAGTTGTTTGTATGTGTGGTGTCTGTGCCTCTGCCCTGGTCCTGGTCACCACGGTGGTTCCAGGTCTGTGGCAGCCCGTCCACAGTCCTTGTGCCCAGGCATTCTCTTCAGCCCTTGTTTGGGTCGGGTTGGTTTGGCAGCATGTAGCAGAGAACCCGGCTGGTGTGGCTTTCAACTCCTGGGCCCTTCGCACCAAGAAGTGGGCATTCTGGGGCCGGGCGGTGGTTTCTGGACCCTTTCGTCTCTCCACTCTCCTGTTTCATCCTCATGCTTGGCTCCTTGGGTCTCGTGTTCTGACTCCAGCCTGATGTTCCAGCAGAAAGGAGGGGAAGCAGGAAGGGGCGTCGTCCCTATCAGGAAGGCATTTCAGGAAACCCCAGCTTCCATCTCATTGGCTGGAAGAGTGTCCACACCGCCTCTGGTCACTAGGACGTCTGGGACTGAGTGTGCTCAACAGAATCAGGCTCCGTGAGGAAGGGGTGAAACTGAGTGGGCAGCGCCGAGTCAGGGCCCCCATGGCCATATCAGCAGGAGCCCTGGGACCCTGCTACCACGGGCTTTAACAGTGTTGGGGTTCTGTGTTTAGCACCCACTTCTTGCTGTCTCAAGTTCTGGACCAGCTGAGAGAGCCCCCACTCCATAGACAGGTGAGTGGAGATCTGATGCGGGCTCTGTTTCACGTAGATTTCTGGAGATTGGAGTGTCTGTGGGAGGTGGGCTTGCTCATCTTCTATCTCAGATTAGACAGACTTACCCACCTGGTGATGAGCATGGCTGGGGACAAGCCCCCTCTGTTCAGTGACCTGAGTGCACGGTGCTATGGGTGGGCCCAGCGAGACCTGAGGGTGAGGAGAGGAGCAGAGGCTGGCTAGGCAGGCCCAGTCTCCCTCCAGACGCATCAGTAACTAACCCCTGCCTCCCTCTGAAGGGAAGAGTGAACAAGCTGGGTTCTCTCCACAGGGCACAAGAGGAGCAAGGAATATGTGCCCCCGTCGCCGCCCACCCCCCCACCAGTGGGTTTTGCTGTATCTCTTGGAAGAAGTCTGGAAGCAGGGCGGTCTCTGGGCTGGGCTGCATCAGGAATGCAGGCGCCGTCTGTCTGTCAGCCCCAGGGATGGCTGCCACAGCCGTCCTCATCAACTCCACCAGAGGCAGGGAGGGGACAGGCTCTCGTGCATTGCCCTCTGGAGTTAATTCTGGCGAGCCACCCTCCCTCCGGAAAGAACTGCTGATGGAGTCACCCACTTCCTTGCAACTTCTTTCATGGTTTGTGACGTTGATTACACTGGAGAGAAACCCCACCCAGGGTCATATCCAGAACAGCTCTTGAGAGCTGGGTGAGCCTGCTGAGGCCCGTCTGGGATCTGGGAGGAGCCTCTGTCCTCTCCAGTGCCCGCGCATGGCTTTCTCTCCAAGTTCCCCTCTTTCCCCTGTGTTCTCTGCAGCAAGCTAGATGTAGGCATGGATTTCCCTGCCTTCCCAGCCGTGCCTGAGGTCAGGAAGAGCAGGGGATGGGCCTCTTCAGTTCTTTAAAGAGAGTATTTTCCACCGTGAGATGGTCACAATACCTTCTCTTTGTTAACTGAGAAAGAAAGAGCAAAGCTGTGCTTGGAAAGCGAGAATGAACTTATAGCTTTGCTACAAGTCTAGTATGCAGACAAGGAGGCTGGAGAAGGGCCTGTGGGCCACAGCAGGTAATTGTGTCCTCTTTTGGGAATGGGGTGGGCCACCGTGGTGGAGGTCTGACACCGAAGTTGTGGTTTGGAAGGTTCTCTGTGGTGCTAGCTGGAGAACAGGTGCAAGTGGGGCAGGGAGAGCGCTATCCAGGCAGGAGGTGATGGATTAGGGCAGGAGTTGGCACACGTTTGGAGGTTTGGACCTGGGCAGCGGGATGGAAGGCGGTCCCTTGCCCAGCAGAGCTTGCAGGGGACCAGCTTCGGTGGCGGACGGTGAAGAGCAGCGGGTCTGTCTTGGATGTGCTGATGTGGACATGCGGGCAGTTGCCCCATCACTCACTTTTGCTTTTCCGTCTCTGCTCCTCATGGTGCTCTGGGCCTCGGACCCTCCAGGTACCACATCATACCTCCCTCTGCAGGATGCTGTTTCACATGCATCCCAAACTGAACATCTGAAACCAACCGCTTTATTTTCCTAAATTTCCTACCCCTTTTCCTCGTAGTGAATGTCACTGACACCCTCTAGTTGCTAGAAACCTGGCAGTCATCCTAGACTCCTTGCTTTGCCTCCCTGGCACATCCGATCCCGAGCACATCTTGTGCCTGCTTGTCTCTGCGTTAATCCTCCAGCCAGGATGCCTGTGTCTCCATGTGCCTGCTGCCCAGAGGCCTGCAGGCCACCGTCATCTCTCCTTTGGCTTCGATAGAAGCCTCCTAGCTGGGCCGTGAATCTTTCCTGGTGCTCTCAGCGCCCCCCACACAGTGGCCAGACGTCATTATGTTACTTGTGTGCTTGGTGACCTGCTTTTGTGTCTGCACTAGAACTGTATCTTACTCCTTAGCCACCTACGCTCTGCTTGGCCCGGCTCCCACCTGTCTCCAGCCTCCCTCTGATCACTCTGTCCCTCTGCTCCAGGCCCACAGCCTCCTCCCTCTGACCACTCTGTCCCTGTCTGCTCCAGGCCACAGCCTCCTGCCTCTGACCACTCTCCCCATCTGCTCCAGGCCATAGCCTCCTCCCTTTGATCACTCTCCCCATCTGTTCCAGGCCACAGCCTGCTCCCTCTGAGCACTCTGCTATCTGCTCAGGTCCAGCCCCGGCCTCTCAGCTCTGACACATGCTTCTCTTGTCCCCACCTCTTGGCCTTCCCTGTTCTGCTCTCCCTCTGTCAGATGACTGCCACCGTCTCTGCAGTGGTCCTGACCTGCCCATCTGCAGAGGAGTCCTCCAGTTTTCAGTTGAGAGGCAGCCCAGGGAAGTGGTGATTTGCTGGGTCTCCGGAACCAGACTGTTGGATTTGAGTCATCCCGACCCTGCCTCTTACTAGCTGTGTGACCTTGACATGTTATTTAACCTTCTGGGCCTCAGTTTCTCCATCTAAAAAATGGGGACACTGATACCTTATTACCATGAGGACTGAATGATGATGTAAAGCGCCTGTGACAGCATCTGTGGACAGCAAGTGCTGGGTGAGAACTGGACTGGCACCTGGCAGGGCCTCACAAATGGTGGGTGCTCAGGGTGGCAGGAGCTGGCCCCCCTTCCTTGAGCCTCGCTGCCTCTGCCGTGGAATAGGAGGCACAGCCAGGTGATGCTTAGTCTTTTAGGCTGATAGGCCAGATGGGGCATCTTCCCTGTGGAGCAGAAATGGTTGATCCCTAATATAGGGACATAGTTCCCCTCAGCAAGACAATACCTGAGTCATTGTACCAGCAGGCGCATGGAGCTGGAAACGGCTTTTCAAGCTTTAGAGGTGAAATCTGCTAGCTACTTGGGATGGAAGCTAAGCCTCGGATCATCTGATAGGAGTTCTGTGTCTTAAGGGTCGTTAATTCAGCATTATTCTTTGAGAGATGGGTAGTAGGATTTGTGACCAAGAAAAGTCTAATTTCTAGTGGGAGAGCAGCATTTTCATTATTATTTTATGTCAGATAAAGCTACAATGGGTCATCCTGTAATGCATAGAGTAAAACCTAGCTGTTAAGTTAGGGTCTTTTTCTTTAGATTGCTCTATGAGCCTTTTAACAAAATAATTTGCCATTTATGTTCAATACAATATCAATACTGTATCGTTTTATGTAAATAGAAGCATAATTACTAACAGTGTGCAATCCAGAACACTCTCAGTGTTTGTTCACACACACTGTTCTTGTTCTCAAGACTGGGTCTGGTGTTTCTGGAATGCTCTGAGGCTGGCACATCTTTGGTTATGAAGGCCCCAAAGCCTGCTGGACACTGGAGTGTCCCTGTGTGACTGTGAACCAGACTTCAGAGAGGTGTCTGTGTGCTGTTGGTTGTGTTAGATTTACCTTCCAGAATCTGCTTTAGGCTTCGTCCCAGGTACTGTCTAAAAATATGGATAGGAAGTAGTCCAAATGTGGATTTTTGGAGATTAAAAAAATGGTATAAAAATAGCATAAAGCTTGTGTGAACTTAACTCAAGTGAGCTGCTCATCTTCCCTTTCCAAATACCTGATTTACCGTTTTCCTGAATCTTATATTCAAGATTTTAAAATGTTTGTCACCTTTAAATTGTAAAAACTATTCAACATGCACAGAAATAAAACAACATTTGAAGGTTATGAAATCTTTGGAATCTAATCTAATTTTTGGAATCAAGTTATAAATGCTAACCACATTTTTAGCTAGGGTTCCTGTTGAGTGGCAGCGTGTGAGGAAAGAGGAGTGTACAGCTGGACTTAGTAACTAGACCTGGGTCTGGGCTGATCCATTGTTGCGCTGGCTTCTGTCACTTGCTGTCCCCAAGTCAGATGTAGCAACCAGCTCCCAAGAGAACTGCCAGCTTGAGAAGAGCTGCGGCTAGTGGGAGGCCGGGCTGCTGCCTATCGCCCACAATACAGAGGAACACTTGGCACAGCACTCGGTCATTTTTTGACTTTATAAATTTAATGAACGAAAGTAAAGGTAAAGCATGTTTTGATTCCCGAGGTAGAGTTGTGGGTACCCAAAGTTCCTCAGCCCCATCTTGAACTCATTGATGGCGCGTCTCCTTCAGTCCATTCCTGAAATTGCAGGAGGTGTGTGGCCCTTGCGTCCACGTGCTGCGAAGCGGTCGCGGTGGGGTTCTCTGTGTCTGGACCTATTTCTATCAGTGAAGTCAAGGCGTGGAGGCTGGCGAGCCGCCGGCGCTCTGTGTCCACGCTGGGCAGGCCTGGACGCGTGGCGGGTGCTCCTACCCGAGGCCCAGCCGCAGGGCGAACGGGGCGAGCGGGGCCAGCAGGGCGAGCGGGCCGGGCGCGGGGCGCGGGCTGCGGGCTTTGAGCTCGATGCCGGGCAGGGGCCGGCTCGCCGACGAGTTCCCGCCGGGGGTCCGGGTGGGCGCCGCGTCCGTGGGCTCCGTGCGGGTCTGCGCGGGCAGGAGCAGGGTCAGCAGCAGCAGCAGCAGTGCGGGCGCGGGCCGGGCCGCCATGGCTGTGCGCTCGGGGCGCGTCCCCTCCTCGGTGCCGGCGGTCGTGGTCGGCGCCTGGCGAGTCAGCTCTCCGGAGCCCTCTCGGGGTCCTGTCCGGCGCGGTCTGGGCGCCTGCACCCCTGCGAGCCCCTCCCCCCGGCGGCTGTTAACGGTCGGCTCCCGGGAGCGGCCCGCGCGCCCCCGGCCCCGGAGCCGGCCGTGCGCGCAGGTCCGCGCTGTGCCCTGCGCGCCGGGGCGCCGTCGCTCGCAGCTCCTTGCCCCTTCGTGTTACTGCCGGGCGGGGCCCAGGAGCCTACGTGAAGACCCGGCGCGGGTTCGCACCATTCCGCAGTCCCTGGGTTCAGTGGTTTTAGCGGACGTCGGAAAACCTTACCGCCTAACGCATGACACAAAGTTTTTGTTTTAAAAACCTTGAAATTATGATACTTTTTTTTTAAGTTTATTTGTGACCTAACTAAAACATGTTTTTGTTAATGCTTCTCCGAGGTTATGCTAATGTGTAACATTTACTTCCTGGCTAGAGTTCAAAGGATAATGTTTTTCGCAAATAAATCAGGGATCCTTTTGCTTTTGGAAGTTATCATGGACTTCACCATCTTTAGAGCTGTCGGTTTTCTCCCCAAGCAGAACATGTGTGAAAATTTCCAAATACTCTATGCCTAATACACAAACATTTGAATATTTTGAATGCCCGTGATGTTAGCAAACCAGAGTCTTTGCTGATTGTTAAATGGGAAAAAAGAGCAGCTTAAAATTGTCTAGGGGAAGGAGAGTGGTCACACAGAGTACCTACTTTTGCCAGACATGGCTTCTTCCACAGTGAGCATGCTTTGTGTTTATTTTTATTCTAAATCGGAATTATTAGTATTATCTTTCTTACTTGGATTTGGTCTCTACTTGTTATCAACACAAGGGTCTAAAACATTTTACATAGTTTTAAATTATGAAAGTAACACATATCCTTGGAAATAATTATGCAAGCAGTTTAAAATGAAGAGTTTAGGCTTCCTCCCCCATCCCACTTACTGCAGGCAGCTCTGTCCACAGGGCCACCTGGTCAGTATCCAGTGGGACAAGTCCATTTCCTCGAAACAAATTCGGGTGCTGTTATCAGAAGGAGGAGGATGGATTCAAGGTAGGCAAAACTAGCTGTCTACCACAAGTATATTTTTCAAATGTGTAACTGTGTGCTCCATATAAGAGCATATAAAACATGAAGAGTGAGGGCTCCTTTCCAGGACCTGCCAGGAAATGCCGGAGATGAGCCTGGATGGTGAAGATGAGCCAAGCTGGGCCTGAGCACCTGGTGGTGCCAGAAAGGAAGGAAGTGCTCAGAAACACAACCCCTGCCCTCCTTGGGTGGGATGTGTCAGAGGGACCCAGGAGCCGACCCAAAGAGCTCCCGATGGCCGGAGCTGGAACGGTTTCAGCACCAGAATAAAGTCATGTTGGATTACAGCGCAGAGTGTAAGATAAATGTCCATGAGTCCACACTGACATAAATGAGCAATTGACAAGTACACGGGGGAGGAGAGTCAGTCTCCTCTGCAGGAGAATCCAGATCGTCTATGCAGCTCCTCCATCCACAGGGAGGGAGCACAGCTCCTCTTCCTCAGGTGTGGGCTGTGCACGGCGCCCTCCTTCCACAGAGGACAGTGTGGGGAGGGACAGAGTGATGCCGAGTGGAGACACCAGGGTCATGTCCACACCTACAGTGACAGGTCACGTGGACGGCACGCACCCTGGGTGTGATGCAGTGAGAAGGGCACCTCACCTCTGTGGTCTTCCTCCCACCACCTACAACCCCAGCCCAGCCAGGAGAAACCATTATACGAATCCCAATTGAGGGGCACCCCAGAAATGCCTGAGTAGTGCTCCTCAAACTTTCAAGGTCGTCAAAAACAAGGCAAGTCGAAGAAACTGTCACAGCCAGGGGGCGATCTGAGGGACATGATGACTAAATGTCATGTGGGATCCTGCATGGGGTCCTGGACAGAAAAGGGACATCAGCAAAAAACTGAGGAAATCTGAATTAAAGCATGACTTACTAGTTTGGTTAATAATAATGCATTAACATTGGTTCATTAATTGTAACAGATGTGCCCTACTAATATCAGATGTTAATATCGGGGAACTGGGTGTGGTGTGTGGGGAAGAGATCTCTGTACTGTCGTCTCAGGTTTTCCTTAAAATGGTTCTCAAAAACTGAGTCTATTTAAAAAAATAGTGTTTAAAAAAAGCTAATAATTCAGTAGAAGCTCCTTTTGTGTCCTCACCCTCTGCCGTTAAGTAAGTATCATCCCGACTTTCGTGGTAATTGTTCCCTTGGTTTCCTCAGTCGATTTGTCACCTTTGTTGCCCTAAACACTTCGTCCTTTGGTTTTGCCAGCACAGACTCACTCAGCGGGAAGGGGTCATGTTGCCAGCAAGGGCTCCTGGGGAGGCCCGGGTCTTAGTGACTGGGCTTTTCCAGGGGCTTCACCTCCAGGGTCCCTCCCGGGCATTGTCTTCACCAGGTCACACACGTTTAGACATTTTCCAGAAGTGAGATCTTTAACTTCAGTCATTTAGGGCTGCGCTGTCTCCTTGCATTCGCTTCCCCTCTCTCCCCATTTGCTGTGCCCAACGCCTTGGATGGCCTTGGGCATCTCTGCATCCGGTGGAAAGGAAGTTGTGTGGGGATGCATTTAGTTGGGGTTTCATGGGATACGTGTGTGTGGGTATGGTCATGTCTGTGAAGAGTTAGGTGCCGTCCAGGTGTTGTCAGCTGGATTCTGGAGTCGTCCTCTGCAGCTTGGGCACAAAGGAGCAGGGCCAGAGGAGAGGTGCCCACTGTACGCATGTACCTCGGGACCCCTGGGGTGGAGTTAGACTCCAGAGAGAAGAGAGACGATTGGAGCAGCTGGGGTCGGCTCAGGGATGGCCTGACTGCTGCTTGGAGACACGAGGGAGTATTGGGGGTGGACCGGGAATGGAGGGGTTCAAGGAGAGGATTCTCAAGGAGCTTTGAGGTCACTCCTGTCATACTTGCCAACAGTGACCTCCAGCAAAGTTGATGTGATCTGTTTGCTGAGTCGGACAGATGTGGTGCTGCAGGGGACACTGTGAGGAGCTTGAAGCAGAGGGAGTGTCAGAAGTGACGAGCGGGGGTTTTGGGGAGCAGGGTCTCTGCCTTGCAGCAGTGGGCAGCCCGTGGGGTTACAGATGCCGCTCACTGTCCTGGCGAGCAGCCGGATGGCCGGCTGGGAGGCCTTGCACGGAGCGCTGCCTCCACACATGCTCCTGCATCTTTTGGGGGTGACTGCTGCCCTCAAGGGGTCTTGGTTCTTGTGACATTAATACAAAGTCTGCACTTTTTCCTGGGGGGAAACACCCAGATAATGTACACAGATTCTGTGTGTGGAGTCGGAGAATAGTGTTGACTTGAAACTTCCCTGGCGGGGTTAGTGTGAAGATAAAGTGAGGCCATATGTGGGTGTGGGGTTTACTTCCAAAGTGATTTATCATTGACCCTTTGCATTTTTAATATTTGACTATGTCATTTGCGATTTTTTAGAGGAGCATTTGCTTTCATTTTGGCCTTTTAAGTATGATAAAAGATGTGGAGAGCCTGGTCTCTCCATTTTCCTCAGACGCTCCTGACTAGTCACCCATCTGCTCGCTTGCAGCCTCCGCGGTTCTCAGATCACAATTAATTGATTATGTTGTAAAAGAGACAACCCCTAAGAGTTAGCCCTAAGGAAACATTGACTTATTTTTTAACATTGTGCAGATAAAAGCGTGCTGACAGAGTGTTGTTTCTATGCTCTCTACTAAACTGCTTCATGCAAATACGTGTAAGTGGGCGTGCTTCAAGAAGTGGCCTCCCTGATGAACGCGTGAGGGCTGTGGGGAGATGTGGGACTTGAAGATGTGACTCACCTGTCCTCAGGACTGCTGAGAAACGCCCCGCTGTCCGGGCTTTCTGAACTTGTCGGAGGAGTGTTCTTTTTATAGTATGCCCGTGTCTAGGAATTTTGGCTGAAATCAGCTTCTTTGCTTTTTCACTCTGTTTTGCTAGTGACGCTGTTGTCTCTGTTCTCTAAAACGACTGTGGGGGACTGTCAGCCATCTGGTGTAGGAATTCTCTTGTGAGGACAAAGCCACCTTGATGGTTTCGTGTTTTAGAACGCTTTGCCTCTCAGCTTGTTGACAGAGTTGTTCTTAGATTCTCAAGTGTTACCGGTAGGATTTCAAGCTTTTGAAGCTGTTTGCTTTTTTTTGTTTCTTAGTTCCTTTCTTTGTACTGCAGTGGCACCTTGTAACAACAGGCGTATTAACCCTCCGGGGGCTCCCCTCTCCACTTGGCCACGATGCCTGCTGAGTGTCAAGCCCTGGTAAGATTTGACAAAGCTCTCTGTGTTCAGTGTGGGTTGGGGTCGTGGTGAATGTTCACCTGGACTAGTATATTAAGTGCAAATATAGTCTGTCAACTGACTTATCATTCTGAGTGTGCTCATCGTCATCTGTCTGAAGCTGTCCTAACTGTGTGAACTGGAGACTGAGGGGTGCGTAGACATGAGTACTGCGATGCCTGGGTTGAGTTTGCTGGGGTGAGTCGCCACGGTAAACCCAAGGAGAGCACTGGGGAGCCACAGCCTTTGGTGTATTTGCTTCCTCGTCTTCTCTTATTCTCCTAATAATGAGGGACTTGGGAATTAGTCAAAACAACAAATTAATAAAAAATGAATTTTCTTAGCAACGTAAAAACGTTTAGCCTCCTTTGCTTTTACAGACCACATAGTGCTCTCAGTGGCAGGTTAGGGTCCTTCCGGTGGAAGGTGCACCAAGCCAGAGATTAGCAAGATGAAAGACTCACGTGTGAATGAAAATTATGCACATGGCTAAAGATATCATTGGTAAGATACATGATTATTGGAACACTAAAGTAATGAAATAGACTTCAGAAGTGTGTTTTCTATTTATTTCAAATTCTAATAAAAAGTAACATTTAGAAATCTAAAGATCTCTTTTTCAGGACCCACAAGTGTCAGTCATTCAGTTTGATGGAAGTTTTGTTTTTCTCCATGAAAGAAGTCTTATCAAAGGTTTAAACAAGAGCCAGAGAGTAAAGAAGGCTTTGCTGGAAATGCATATGGCATAATAAATTTGGGGTGCTAATTTGTCCTTCCCCACCCCGGGTATTCCCCCACAGCAGGAGTAGGTGCTGGACTGGGGGACCTGAGGGGAGGCCAGGAGGGAGACGTTGCACAGAACACAGATGCGCAGTTTATGTCAAAATTAGAAAGGGGCTCCTGGTGCTCCCACTGGCCAGGCTGAGAAAAGGACAAGAGGAAACAAAGGCATAAAATTTGGAACAGAAGAGGTACAGTGGTCTCTGTTTGCGGCTTAACACTGAAAACCCTGGAGCGGTGCTGTCCAGTAGAGCTCTCTGCAGTGATGGGATGTTCTCCATCTACAGTGGCCACCATGTGGGAGAGCACAGCCCCAGAGAATCGATGATGAAAACAACTCTAATAAAAGGATTTGCCAAGGTAGCAGAAATACAAAATTAATATGCCAACATCAATAATAACGTTCATATCCACAAAAATAACTGGTTAGAGGATATTATGGAGGAGACAGCCCTATGTACAATAGCAACAATAAGGATAAAGGATTTAGGAATAAAAGTAATAACTGTTCAAAACCTAAGTGAAGAAAATTCTAAAAATGCCCAAGAAAGACACAACAGTAGCATTGAACAGATGGAAGGACATGACTTATTCTTGGTTAAGATGTTGCATTAAGATGGCAGTTCTCTCTAAGTAACTTTACAAATTTAATGTGATTGCAATAAAAATACAAACATAAGAGTCATTTTTTCCCCTTGGGCTGAACATGTTGATTCTGAAATTGACATAGCAAAACAAGCATGCCTGAATACCTAGAAAACTCAGAAGAGAAGGGGCTGAGAAAAGGAGAATGGCTCAACCAGACATGAAAACGTACTTAAAGCCGCTATATGCACGTGGTGTGGTGGCGATGCATGAACAGACAGACCAGTGGGCTAGGAAGTTCAGAATGAGCCCAAATATAGATGGAACTCGAGTCTGTGGTTGAGGTGGGATCTCGATTGCTGGGTCCGGATGGACTTTTTAGTAAGTGATGGATCTGATCCATTGGGAGCTTACTCTCCTATGTGGTGTAAGGTAGAAATGTAACGTTGTCATTTACAAAGTGGTGTCCAGTTGTCCCCAAATCATTTATTAAATGTCCACCTGGACCTGTTCTTTGTGTAACACTTGAACAGTTTCCTCTTTTACGTTAGCCAAAAACAGGTGATATAACCTATGT